CCTGCCCGCCGCCCGACGACGAGTCCGCCCCGGCCGCCCCGGCTCCTCCTCCCCGCCGCGCCGCCGCGCCGCCGCTCCGCTCCGCTCCCCCCGGGGCGGGCAACCGGGGAACGGGACGGGACGGGACGGGGACCGGCCGCGGGATTGCGCCGGGCTCTCAGGCAGGGGAGTCCCGGGGACAGACCGGCATCAGCCGCGGGACCGGCGGGATCACCCCCGGCATCACCCCCGGGGCCACACCGGGATCCGCCGCAAGATCCCCGGAACCTCAACCGGGATCCTCAGCCGCAGCACCCCCCGGATCGGCCCCCCCTCCGGGAGCACCGGGGCCACACTGGGAGCAGGCACGGGATCCCCGGGATCACACCGGGATCACCCCCCCCGGGATCACCGGGGCCACACTGGGATCAGCCATGGGACCACCCAGATCTCCCCGGGATCACTGGGACCACATTGGGATCAACTATGGGATCACCCAAATCTCCTCAGTGGGACCAGCCACAGGATCACCGGGATCTCCCTGGCATCACTGGAACCACACCAGGATCAGCCTCAGCACACCAGGATCACCCCCAGGGTCACCAGGGTCACACCGGACACTGGGATCACACCGGGATCAGCCACAGGATCACCGAGATCTCACTGGGATCATGCAGGGAATCACCAGGGCCGCAGCAGGATCAGTGGCAGGATTGTTGGGATCACCCCCAGGATCCCTGGGACCACCCTGGGGTCAGCTGTGGGATCACTGAGATCTCCTGGGGATCACTGGGACCACACCAGGATGTCACTGGGATCACTGACATCCCAGGAATCTCCCCTGGGATCACTGGCACTCCTGGATCACCTCCAGGATCACCCTGGGACTCTAGCACCCCAGGATCTCCTCCCGGATGACGGGCACCCCCAGGATCACACCCAGGCCCGTCCCCGTGCCCTGCCAGCGCCCAGGCCGTGTTTCAGGGAAAAACACCACAAAATCACTAAAAAACGCTCTTGCCCTTTCCCAGGTTGTTTTATTTCACCAGCTTCCCGAGCCCCAGGGAGAGCTCCTCCGGGGAGACGGTGCCGGAGCACCCCAGGAGCCGTTTTTTGGGGTGCAGCAGGACCTTCCAACCACAAAATAACATTTGTAGCTTCCAAAATTGAGATTTCTTGCCTGTTTTTTTCCAGATTTGGACTGGTGGGGATGCAGCCGGGGGGAAGCACGGGGGGGAATCAAGGGGTGGATGGAGGAGGAGGCCGAAGGAAGGGGTATTTCTGTTCACGTGGAAGCATTTTCTTGGGAAATCCAGCTTTATTATAAACCTTTGGAAACGGATAATTCCAAAGAGAAGGTGTTTTTTCGGCCGTTCCCCACAGCACTTGTGGGGAGCAGGTGCCGTTACAACACCAGAGGTGAGCGCCAACAAATTAAACCAAACCCAACAGCCTGGGCTAATTAATTTTCCCTGTTTTCCATGTAAACGAGGGCGGCACGTGGAAAACCTCCGACCCGGGATGCTGGGATCGGGGCTGGTTGTCCCCCATCCCATCACTCAGCCAAGCATTGGTGGCTTTTCCAATTACTCCAGTGACGTGCCAGAGGGTTTTCCAGTAACCCCAGAGATTCACCAGGCTTTGACCAGGGCGTTCCCAATGGGCACGGAGCACGGGATGGTGCATTTGGGGGATTTCAGCATTATTCTTCCAGTTCCCCAAATAATTTGGAAGCTTTTGGGGCTGAACGCAGACCGGACCGGACCCACCGGCTGCAGCGACAGATGACAAACACCAAGGGCCACCTAAAATGTGTGGTAGGTGTGAAAATTGTGGTTGATGCTTTTATTCCTTGCAGAAACAAGAAGGAGAAACCCCCAAAGAGGATCCAGAGCCTAAAAAGCTCCTTTAAGCCAAGCCTGCAGCTTGACACCACCACGTATAGACATAGGTATATATGGGCCCACCTCCATACGTGGCTCCTCGGAGCCTTGGCTGTGGAAGAGGTGGAGAGGAGCGATGGAGGAGCCAACGTTTGATGGCAGGTTGGGCTCCTGTCATTGCCCAGGCGGGTATTAAATTCATAGTTTTTGGTTTATTACCTTTTCCAGGCAGATCCATACACCCAGCCATGGGGGCAGCCAGCAGCACGGTCGGCCCAGTGTGTGACTTGTCCTCCCAAGTTGGAGGGAACCCTCCAAGATCTCACGTCTCTCATCATTTTGGGGAAATCACAGGATCAGCCCCGCTCTGCCCTAACGAGACCGATGTGGTCACGAACCGTTCATAGCAGGAGGAAGAGGTGGGACTCTCTTGGTTGGGTATTTGGTCTGGAAACTTCCCCAGTGTGTGGAATCAGCTTCCCACCTCAACTGGTGGAGGAGGAGGAGGACATCCTGCAGGTCTTCAGCTCAGCGGATGGAGAGAACAGCAGCCTGAAATCCTCTGGAGCTTACTGTGATCTGCCCCCTGGATCTGAGTGGCTTTTCCCAGAAAGTGGTGGGCAAACACTGCCCTGTTCTTCTGGGCTGGGGTGGGGATGCTGCTGTAAATCACTGCTGATGTAAATCTTTAACACCAGGTGATGGAAACGCCGCTCTGCTCCAAGCGTCTCTCCAGCCCCTTCCTCTCACCAGGAGGGCAAACGCCCAGGGGTTGCTTAGATCCACCTGAGAACTCACCCTCACCCAACCCTGGCTCCTCAGGATCCACCTGGAGAACATCAAACTGGCCAAGATTTGACTCGAAACTCCCTCAAGAACAAGCCCAGGAGGCCATCACCTCCAGCAGCAGGGAAGAAGGAGGCAGAAGGAGCCCGGGTTGTCCCCAAAACCCTTCTCTCTGTCGTGCCACCACCTTTTCCAGAGAAGCTCAGAAAAACAAGCGTTGCTATTTGAACTCCCTGGCTCCCTTCCCGGCCGAGCAGCGGGTCCGATTCCCAATCACTGTCACTCTACCTGCACAAAAGTTGGGTGGTTGGGGGTTCTTGTTGAATTTCTTACTGTTTATTTTTGATAAATCTCTTGCGGACGTGGAGGTGGGGCGCTTTCTGAGGTGACATCCCCCAGTCCCTTACACGACGTGCAGGAACGAGAGGGGTTTGTTCTTCCCAGCAGCCGTGACGAGCCCCGGTTTCTTGCGCATTTTCTGGAGGGAGGACATGGTCCTGGTGTAGGTGTGCTGGCCACAGAAAACAAAGAGCATTTTGAACATGAGCTGGGTTTTCAGAGCAGAATTCTCACCAGCAAAAGTGGGTTTTTTTTTCCTGAAATAAACCCAACCCCAACCAACTTCTCAACCTTCCCAAGCGGTGCTGGAAAAAGCTGCCCCAATAAGCCCCATCGCACCAGCGCCGCTCCACTGGTGGCAGATCCCAGCGGGCTCACAGGAGGGCACAGAAGCCCTGGGAGATTCTCCTCCCAAGCACCAAAGGGCTGGTTTAGAGATATTTTCCTTAAAAAATGTTAAATGCTAGAGTTGTGCAGCCCCGTTACTCTCCTAAACATGCAGTTTTTGTGAAGTCCTGCTAAATTCAGGGCCTCGGTGGTATCTTTCCAGGAGGGAGCCAGCAGTGAGAAGCTCCAAGATTGGGTTTTTAGTAGAAGATCAGCTGAGGTTACCTTTTGATCCATCTTCATTTTGGCTTTGTAGAAGGAGACAGAAGCTGGGCAGGCCGGCAGCGCAGTCTCCTGCATCCGCTCAAACCTCTCCTGCTCATCTTCCTCCTGCCAGGAGAAAGACAGACCCCACTCCATGTGAAAAAAAAAAAAACCACATGAAAGGGACACCTCCCACCAGACCAGGTTGCTCCAAGCCCCCTCCAACCTGCCCTTGAACCCCTCCAGGGATGGGGCAGCCACAGCTTCTCTGGCCAACCTGGGCCAGGCTCTCACCACCCTCCCACCAAACAAGTTCTTCCCCACAGCTCAGCTCCATCTCCCCTCTTGCAGGGTCAAACCCTTCCCCCTCCTCCTCTGGCTCCCCTCCCTCATCCAGAGTCCCTCCCCAGCTTTCCTGGAGCCCCTTGAGGGACTGGAAGGGGCTCCAAGGTCTCCCCAGAGCCTTCTCTTCTCCAGGCTGAACCCCCCCAACACTCTTTTAGCCTGTCCTGTGAGAATGCTTAAGAGAAATGAGAAGCTTAAGAGAAACGTGCGTTGTCAGGAATGACAAAAGAGCCCAGTTACCCCAAAGTGGCAGTTTCTAAACAGAGGGCTGGCTGGGTACCAGTTGCCACAACACGAAACACAATAGTTTAGCCGTTACACATTCCAGGTTATACAGACTGGAAACAAGTCTCCCTCCTACCCCTGGCACCTCTGGGCAGTTTGCCCGATTCCTGATCGTCAGCAGATGGCCGGGTACTTAGAATCACAGAATCATAGAATGGTCTAGGTTGGAAGAGACCGTTGGGATCATCGAGTCCAACCATCTCCCCTCCTCTACAAAGTCCTCCCCTACCCCATGTCCCTCAGCACTGCATCTAAGCGGCCCTTAAACACAGCCAGGGATGGGGACTCCCCCCCCTCCCTGGGCAGCCTGTTCCAATGCCCGACCACTCTTTGGGTGAAAAATTCTTTCCTAATGTTCAGTCTAAACCTTCCCTGTTGGAGCTTGAAGCCGTTCCCTCATTCTGTCACTAATTACCTGTGAGAAGAGACCAGCACCAACCTCTCTACAGTGTCCTTTCAAGTAGTTGTAGAGAGTGATGAGGTCTCCCCTCAGCCTCCTCTTCCTCATACTAAACAGTCCCAACTCCCTCAGCCGCTCCTCATACGATTTGTTTTCAATCCCTCTGTCCTGTTCTAGCCTTTTTAATGATAAAGCAAAGGTGAAAGCAAGATGGATCTCCAGCTCCATCCCAGTAGACAGCATTTCACCACCACTCTGCTCGGAGGAAAGGGGCAAAGCCACCCGTGCCCTCCTCTTCCTCCTCCCCTGGGTTTAGTGGTGCCCTCGTTACGGTGCCACGTGCAGGTATCAAGGAGAATGAGCAGAGCTGCTGGGACAACTCACCAGGCACATGACTCTGTTGATGGGAATCATTCCAGGTCTGATGTTGCCACCGGGTTTCAGAGCTTCCTGCATATCCTTGGGGATGAGGAAGGACTCGCTGTACCAGATCTCAAACTCTGCAAAGCAAAGTAGGGGGGTTTGGGGGGGGATAAACAGAGCTGTAAGGACCGAGGAGACGGAATCACAGAATCTTCTAGGTTGGAAGGGACCTTAAAGATCATCTTGGCCAACCGTCAACCTGACTGACAAAAATAGACACCCACACAACAAACAAGGAGCATCATCACTAAACCAGACCTCCCAGCACCACATCAACCCGTCTTTTGAACACCTCCAGGGATGGGGCCTCAACCACCTCCCTGGGCAGCCCATTCCAATGGCTGAGAACCCTTTCAGTGAAAAAATTTTTCTTAATATCCAGCCTGAACCTCCCCTGGGGCAACTTGAGGCCATTTCCTCTCGTCCTGTCGCCTGTGACTTGAGAGAAGAGACCGACCCCCACCTC